ATATATAATAATATAAAATTTATATAATAATAATAAATATATATATAAAAATATAAAATATAATATTATGTAATAATATATAATATAAATAAAAATAATATTGTAATTTAATTTATATTATATAATAATATATAACAATATAAAAATTAATATATATATATATTATAATATATATAATATAATATGCATATAATATAACATTAATATTTACAATAATATTAATATATAATAAATATTTACTTACTTAGAAATGTGCAACACAATATAGAAAAGAATGTATATTTTTTAAACATTTCATAGCCATTTGACAACAATTGAGAACCCAGATACGCTGACTGATCTATTATGCTAATCATTTGCATATACAACCAAGGTACTGCATACTTAGATATTCTCTGTAAATATACACGGAAGTTTTAGCAAGATCGTTAGCGGAGTTTAGACGAGGTCGTGAAGGTCGATACGTGCCAAAAATACTTTATCGAGTTAGAAAAGAAATAACACTATGTAAGTATTTGATCGATCCTATTTTATACACGCGTTGTTGTTCAAGGTTTCTTTATTGTTATTATTATTGTTTTTATTTTTTTTTCTACTCACCACGGTTGATCCGTAAGCAAGAAACGCGCTTGTTACAAAAAACAGAAAGCTGTAGAATATTATAGATGAACAACCAATGATTATAATTTCACCTGAAAATTGATATATATATATATTAATATATATATTTGTTATAATTGTTTATTTATAATTTTAATACTCACATGGATTATTCAAATGAATATGTTTGAAAATAAAAGTCCAACTCAAGCCAAGTGGAGTCCAAGAATCGAGTGTTTTGAAGAAATCAGCTTCCGTATTTTTTATTAATAATTGACTAGCAAAAACATTTATTAATAATACCGAGAATGCCTAAAAAGTAAAAAAAAAAAAAAAGAAAAACAGAATTATGTTTGCAATTCATTTATTTATATCTTCAATAACGTTTTCATTAACTGGTTATGTAAATAAGAATAAAAAAAAGTAACTGGATTGCACGTTTGTAAATTTTACTTACATTTTATTTTGAATAAAATATTAACTTACCAATGTATAAGTGCTGACCATTCTCGAAGCTATGGTTAATCCCATACAACACAACGAATTACTACTCATGTTAACATTTATTTTTAATTAATTCATGTGAAATTAACAATTAAAGTATCAAATAAGTTTTCATTAAACGTGTTTCACAGTTGATTTATCCTTTCGTCGTATCGATCAGGAACAACACTTGCTCGATTGTTAGTGAAAAAAAGAAAAAATGTAAACACACATGGTCCAAGGTAAATATACGTTATTAAACTACAATACAACGATCATTTTATTATCTATGTATGTCTATCGTACACTCGCAAAACACTTGCATATGTTTCTCTCTTTCTTTTTTTTTTTTTTGAATATTTATATCTTCACACACGTCACTTTTATTCATCAGTTTTTCTATTCACTTTGTTTTTATATATGAAGATTTAAAAAGAAAAATAATAAACTACTTGTTGATTTTCAAATATGATGAAAGACCAATAGAAATGTTCCGCTAATATTTAAAGGCGCGAAATGATCGAAAACCTGGTGTCATTTTTTTTTTTTTTTATTATTGTTTTATATTCGTAATTATAAAATTTACACTGATCGATTGTTGATGTATTATTTTAGCACAAACAACGTCGAAGTATTTTGTACCATTAGCCGATGATAACACCAATACGCAATTGCGTAATTTAATCGTGAATATACATATAATTATATTACGACATTGCAAAGATCAAAACTGCGATAAAGGAAAAATTTGATTGGAGAAAATGCGATATGTTGCGTTCGATACTATCGAACTCGTAAATGTTGTCTGCGCATGCGCATTACGAGTATCGTAGTCTGGTGCAGTGTGTATACTCGGGAACACGTGACAAGTGAACGCGGAGAGGTTATGTTAACCTCGTGTTGTTTTTTAAACGTGCATTTGTTATGTGTGTTTTTATGTGTAATTTAATGTGCATCTAATTAAATTGTTTATTGTTTCTCTTGTTAATAATATTGAATAATGACAGTACAAGAAATGGATATTTGTTTAAATATTTCAACGGAGCCTGGTGTTGGTCGTTCTAACAAAGTAAGTAATTTTTATTTAAAATTTAAATTATGTTTGTGTGTTGAGATTTATTAAAGAAATAAAATTATTTATGTATTTAGAAAAAGAAGACAGTTAAAAACTATGTTAAAAGATTGAAAGTAGGAAAAAAAGAAAGTAAGGTTAGCAGTGAGTCAAAGAGTGTTTTGACTGCTCAAAGTGGTGCAGTCAAAAGGGTTAAACAAAAAGCATTGGCAACTATAGTTGCTAAAAATTTATTAAAAAGTAATACTGTTAATAATTCTCAGAATAAACAGCAATTATCTAACTCTCAGTTTAAGTTGAAAAATAAAAGTGATGCATCAATACCAGTAACCAATAAGTTTGATAAAGTACCTTCCACTGCAAATACTCAAAGTACAGATTCCAATAAAGTTACAACGCAGATAATAAATAATGATTCTAAAGAACCAATTATATCATTTGTTAAAGTTCCTAAAAAATTACTTAATAAAGCAGTTGTCGCAAAGAAAAGAAATGTTAGTGAAGAGAGTTCAAAGAAATCATTATCTGAAATATTTTCCAATTCAGTAACCAAAAAGAATGTAGAATCAGATTTATCAGATATAACTTTAAATATTAAAACCAATGACAATGATAAGACTCAGTCAACACATGAGAAATCTGTTATCGAACAGTTTCCTAAAAAATTTGATGCGATTAAGAGACCAAAGAAGTTTGACACCGATATAAAAAATAGGAAAAAGAATCAGTTCAAGGATCATAAAGCAGATAAAAACGAATCTTCAGATAAATCTTCTTATCAAAATTATAAAAAACAAACTGGTAAAAGTTCTTCTTTATTTAAAAATAATCCAGAAGTTCCAAATATTGGACAAAGACTTGTAAAACCAATCAGTGAAACAGTTTTCACAAAAATTCATTTTTCTGATCTCGACGTACATCCTTTTATGGTTAGTAATATCATTTTGATAGAATCAAGTATTTCAATTTAATATAATCATTATAAATACATTATCATATTTATATTTTTTTTTATTAAGGTATCAAATTTAGAACAAAATATGAACATTACTAAAATGACTACTGTACAACAAATGGCAATTCCTCAAATATTTTCTGGAAAAGATGTTTTAATCAGATCTCAAACTGGATCAGGAAAAACATTAGCTTATGCTATACCAATTATTGAATGTTTACATAAAATAAGACCCAAATTAACAAGGAGTAGTGGTTTAAGTGCATTAATCGTTGTACCTACAAGAGAATTAGCTTTACAAACTTATGAATGTTTTTTGAAATTAAGAAAAGTAAGTATTTGTTGTATAAATTCATTTTTTTTCTTTTTTAAAGATAGAAACATATACAAATACTTTCATTATTTATTTAAAAAATTGTTTGTTCTATTATCGCAGCCATTTACATGGATAGTCCCAGGTTATTTAGTTGGTGGTGAAAAAAGAAAAGCAGAAAAAGCTAGATTAAGAAAAGGTTGTAATATTTTAGTTGGTACTCCAGGTAGATTATTAGATCATATTAGACATACAGAAGCTTTAAAATTAGTCGATGTAAAACATTTTGTATTGGATGAAGCTGATAGAATGTTAGATGCCGGATACGAGAAAGATATTGCTGGGTAAAATATATTTCTTTTTTTACAGAATACTTTTATATTTTATAAAATCTTTAAAATATTTATATTTTTAAATTACATTTTTAGTATTGTTGATGCTCTTAAAGGGACAAATATTAAATCAGATAATTTAAATAATTCAAATTATGATCCTATGGCAATGTTAAGACAAAATAGTAGAAAAGTTTTCACAGATGAAGAAACAACACTTCCAGAAGAAAATAATCAAAAAGAACAAAGTTCTAATGATAATGAAACATCAAAATCTGATAATGATAAAGATAACGTAAAAGATGTAATTAAACAAGCATATCACTCGAACAGTGAAAGTGATTCGGAGGAAGATGATTTTCCTGTAAAGATAAAAAAAAAAAGAGAGAAAAAATCTATAATAAAACCTACAGAAAAAAAAGAAGAAAATATAAAAATATCTTCTGAAGATCTCACACCACAAACTAAGCCAAAAAGACAAACAATTCTTTTATCTGCAACGTTAACTCAAGCCGTGGAAAAATTAGCGGGATTGGCTATGCATAATCCAGTTTTTGTGGATGCTGCAAAAGAAAATTTAGTAACATTTGGTGGAGATGAAGATCAGATCAATGAAGATTATGTAGTTCCTCAAAGTGTGCGTCAAAGTTACGTTATTACTCCACCAAAACTACGAATGGTCACTTTGAGTGCTTACATTGTTGATAGATGCAAGGTACAATGAAATATTTCATACGAATATTGTAATATAATTGATATTAACCCCTTGCACACCCTTTGCATTAATATTATTGTTAATTCATTTATTTAATTAATGTAATTTTAGTGATAAAAGAAATAGAATTTGATATTTGTATTATTTTGTATAAATAACAATTTTATAATTATATTTTTGTAATTTGTATTACTTATAACTATAAATAGTTATTTTTATATTTAAATCTAAGTATATTTAAATAAAATTCATATATTTATATTATATTAATAAAATAATAAATATAAATATTATATAATTGATGGCAATTGTGTGGGACAACAGTGGTGTGTCTACGGAGTGCAAAGGGTTAATTAAAAAGTTAAGTTTTCATTAAAAAACTAATTTCTTACAATATTCATTTTATTATTTAATAGCAATCTGGACACAATAAAATGTTAATATTCATGGCAACTCAAGATATGGTAGATTATTATACAGAAATTTTATCAACCATATTAACAAAATCAACCGACGAGGAAGACGAAGAATCCGATCCACTTGTAGATGTTGAATTTTTAAAATTACACGGTAACATGAGTCAAAAGGAAAGGACTGAAGTTTTCAAAAATTTTAGATTAGCAAACAGCAGTGTTCTACTATGTACGGTAAGTTCATTGAAATATTATTAATAAATTAATGTCTGTTTTAATTTGATGTAAACGACGATGTTTGTGGATCATTCATCGAATTATCTAAAATCATTTTGATGATATTGAAAGTCGAACACGTTCTTCTCAAGCATAGTTGGTGATTAGTTTCATGTATTATTACGTATTATGTATTAGTATAGAATGACGGTGCTTTCGCCACCGCAGGAGTTAATACAAAATATCGGTGAAAAAGAAAAAGGGGTGGGAGTGGTGAGAGGGGAGTTGATCCAGAGAAAGAAAGAAAGAAAGAAAGAAAGAAAGAAAGAGCGGAAGAAAAGCCATGGAGATACCCGTCGGCACTCCCAGAGCTGTAAATTATCTCGCAGCTTATTCTTTCAGGACGGAATTTAATATCTTTGGACCCACGCTGTGTCCGCAGGTTAAAAATTATGTGTACACACACACGAGGGCCTTCGTAACGAGTATAATTATGATCGTTGGCTCGTTCTGTGTCAGTGATTTCTTTAACCGTTCTCTCTCCTGTTATATTAATCGGTAAAATTCTCGTTTGCCAATAACGACCAAACAGAAATTCCATTCGCGAAATCAAAAAGACAACCACGATGACGACGACGAATCTTTTTTTTTTTTTTTTAAAAGTTAGTAATAATGCGTTCGTATAAATTTTATATTCCTCTTTTTTGGTTGAATTCAAACATATATATCGTAATATATAAATACCTTCAATTTATTATTATTATTATTATTATTACATTACTTTTTTAATTGAGTTAGATAAATTTTTGAATTAAGCAATTGATCAAACAATTTTCTTTTTTTTCTATCCTATTACGATCTCTATCTGTCTAATTGTGAAAGTAAATAGTAAACTTTATATACTTTAATTTATATCACACCAAGATGTACTCTCTAAACCGAGTTTACGAACAACAACAACTCTCTTGGCGTATCTTATTAATTAAACGTACGACGAGTTAGGTTTTTATGATTAAAAATAAAAAATGAATAAACAACTATACAAGATATCGTATGATCCGTCATTATAAAAATTCAACTTGGTCACGCAACACTACAACGACGACGACGACGACGACGACAACGACGTTTTCACACCGTGCGAAATTAACTCGCTTGAATCAGGCAATCATATCGTCGTAGTTCATTGTCGTCGGTTGGACTTTTTCGTTATTATCTTTTTAGTTTCTTCGTTAAGGTTCTATAGCCGTCCAATTAACTGTCAAGAAATTTCTTCATTTTCCTTTTTTGTTTCTTCTTTTTTTTTTCTCTTTTTCCAAACAACAAAGTCTTCAGATTTTATAAGCTCGTGTATCTCTTCACGTTGTTATTATTATTACATACTCATAGGATTATTTGCAATAAGATCTTTTCACGTCTAGGGAATTTTACATTAAACTCACCCAGCCCCACACACCCAACCCCACTTCTTCCCTAGAACGATGATACTATTTTTGATGCTTATGTTTGTTTTGTTCGACATTAAAAATTACGTGTCGGTAGTTCCTGGCACGACGAAATGCACACCACACGCAAGGGGGTTGGGGGTTTAGGGGGAGGGGGGGGGGTTGGATGGACGGTACGATCGAAACCCGCCCACGTTTTATGGCGTCACTTCAACCGGGGTTATTTTATGACAGTATTATTAATTTGAACGTTGAAAAGCCCACGAGGGGGTTCCTGCGGTTGGGAATGTTCCGCGGCTTCTCTCAGCGGTGCTGAATCCGGATCTACCGAGAGAGTGATATATGATACGAGTGAGATGTTTTGAGTGGGTGATCTATTCTGGATATCATCCCTGAGACTTGGTGATCGTGCTTCGACTCTTAAACGATCGTTTATCTTAATCGCCATCATTGATCCGTTGTTGTTATTATTCAGAACCGTTAATAACATTTGGTAGAATCGTAAACGGTGGCAAATAATAATATCTAGTTTGTACCATCTCGAATTTATAGTGTCTTATGGTAGGTAGTTCTTTAGGACTCTTATAGGGTTTTTTTATCTTTTTTTTTTATAAGAGATTGGATCATCAAATTAATTCATGACGAGTCCATGATGTCAGATCTTTTCTTTTATTTTGTCTATATTTAACGTATGATAATTAATATTTCAGAAAATACGTGTATACACACGTGGTATTTTAATGAGAATTAATTTACAGTGTTAGTAGGATAGACGAAGAAATATCAATTGAGGTTATAGTAATTCATTGAAATGTTAAACGAATGAAAAATGATCAAAGGTATATATCTACCTATATGTTATTTATTTCTCTATCGATAGTAGGGAATTTTTTTCTCGTACTACTTCACCCTGGCGCCTGTATCTCTCTGTGATCGCTGTCGGAGGCAAGCGCCGAATTAATTCGATGCAAAGACAAACAAGAAATTTGTATCGTGCCGCGAGAGAAAAATTTTCAAACTTCACTACGTCCGTGTACCTTTTCTCCTATTATAAGTATTAGGGTTGGTTGGTTAGCATGGTGTGGTGTGGGATCCAACCAAGAGAATGGATTTGAAGTCTCTTCTCTTCAGAACCCCGTCAACTAAGGAACACACTAATACTATTACATATAGAGTCTATTACGGTAAATCATCGAGCAACCGAACAGCTAAGAAATCAGGGCTGTGCCCTCAAACGTTCGCCGTTGGGGTTCCGCAGCGGGTGCTCCTCACATATTCACCTTCTTACAAAACGAGAATACGCGGTCCTCTCTTCAGTTTGTAAAGTATTTGTACACGGCAGGTTGACTCTGTAGTCCAACACAACAACAACCTCTTTGCTTATACGTCAAAGAACGATGAGACGTGTATTTGACATTCGACAGACATGAATTACGCGATTTATGACTAAGGGGATAGATCACTTAGAATCATCCACTCTCTTACATGGAGTTGAGTTTCTTTTTTTTTTTTTTTTTGAAACAACAACAACAACAACAACCTGTACCTGCCGCTGAGTCAAACTTTATATACGTTTTATTAATTTTTCATTTCGCATCAGGACGTCGCAGCACGTGGATTGGATTTGCCGAAGGTGGATTGCGTTGTACAATACACGGGACCACTTTCAACCAGGGATTACGTGCATCGAATTGGTCGTACGGCACGTGCTGGTACTTCCGGATCTGCAATAATTTTCCTTACACCACCGGAAGTTGAATTCGTGCGAATGTTAGAATCTAAAAGAATTCGAATTAATCAGATAGACATGGATAAAATATTAGGCAAATTGATAGGAGGACCATTATCCAAGTATCGTTCAGTTCAAGAAGCTGCCATTGCTCTTCAAAGAGAATTCGAAGCGTTACTTTTGGAGGACAAGAAACTTCATGGGAAAGCTTGTAAAGGTAAGCGTAAATTGATATTATTTTTTTGTATTTTCTTTTCCTTCCACAGACAAAGATACGTGTTCCGTTAATCTAAGGAAGAATATATAACCTTTGACTTAATAGAACTCGAAGGAAATTCTCGTAGGATAAACTGTAAAGTAGAAAAGGTATAACACGTGTTAGTAACACGTAACAACTCACACGGTAGTCCGTTTAACACGATTTCCTTTATCTCTCCCTGTTCCGCGGAACACGAGCTAGTGAAGAGGATCTACGAAGGATGAGGGAGAACACCTACTCTGATTCAGTTGGATTGGAACGAAAGCGAGCTGACTTCAGGGTAGAGTAAACCAATTCCAGTGTGAGCACCCTACTCGCATATAAAGTAACTCTTATACGACTGCGCTCTAGGGGGGTGGTGGGGATTGGGGGGTGGGAAGAGGGTTCTTCGTTCTCTGTTACCACTCTTTCCACCAGTTCTGTCTCGGTCTCTTTTCTGCTTCTCTCCTGCCACTCAGATATTTACATAGTCTATAGACGAGGAGGGATGATCTTGTTTGCCATGCCATGCTTACTCTATTAGGGTTGTTACGAGAAAGAATTTACTGGCTGCAATAATAAATCCATTAAGATGCTACGATTCGAATTGCTTTTCGAAAAGGGGGAACTAACTCGGGGTGTTTCCCCCACTTTATAATATCCCCACTACCCAATACCACCCCTTATGTATCGGGGCATCGTTTTCCCCGCGAAACGAAGATGTTTCCCTCATTTTACTGCTTTACTCTTTCCTTTTCCTTTATCCCTACCCTTCCTTTTATACTCGTATCCCATAGATGATCGATTGAATCGTTCACGAACCATGTATATCTGTGTGTGTGTGTGTGTCCTTTTCTAAAACCTAAAGTTATGTTTTTTATCGATGAACACGTTACTTGCAAATATTATCATCATTTGCCATTACAGAAGTGTCGGGTTCGTATAAGATGAACTTAATCGGCTCAACGTAGATGAAACTTTCGAATGAAAATAACGGGGATCAAGGAATAGAAATAGAATAAGAAAAAGAAGAAGAAGAAGAAGAAGGAAGGATCATAAATCTTTTTACTTTACTTTACGGAACTGTAGCAGCTTCGGAACTTGTTCGGCATCAAGCGTGGCTTTACACGAAGGTTAGCCACGGTTTTTGAGCGCTTAGCCATTTCGGGTTTGAGTGACGGTACACAGTTAACCACTTGACCGTTCCTACGCACGTACCCCGGTGATTGATAGATTAATTGCTTACGTTACTCTCTCGAACCCCTACCGTTCTTGTTGTTGTTGTTGTACTTTTCGCACTGTATTTTATTTCCTTCGATTGGGATAGTTTCCAATGTTATCGATTTGATAAGGTTAGGTTAATAGTATTACAATAATTAGATAATTAATTATATTTTGTAAAATTTAGAGTCTCATTTTGCTTACGTTACTTCCTGGAACTCCTACTGTTCTTGGTCTTGTTGTTGTTGTACTTTTTGCACTGTATTTTATTTCCTTCAATTGGAATAGTTTTCAGTGTTATCTATTTGATAAGGTTAGGATATTAGTATTCTAATAATTGAATTATTAATTATATTTTGTATAAAATGTAGAGTCCCATTTATACCATTTTGTGTTGTTGTAGATTGATATAAAGAATAAAGAAGAAAACTAGAAATATATGAGAGAGAAAGAATGATAATAGTAATGGAGATAAATAAGTGATAAAAAAGAGTAGAAAAGCAGATATACTAAAGTAAAGAATAATGACGTATAGTATAGCCATTTCCTGGCTTTTTACGCTACCTACCGAATTTATTTAATTCCTGACTAAAGCTAAGGTGAAGGACTATATCTCTCCCTCTCCCTCTCTCTCTTTCTAGTATAGTACACGAAAGGGGAAGTGGAAATCTCACTAATTCGTAACATTATCACCCCAATAGAGCCGAACGGCTCTCAATAGCGAGAACAACCCCCTTGTGTTCTCAACCCTCGCCACTAAGCTAAGGGATTCATCCATTCCAACCCGCCTATATATATATATATCACCCCCTTCCAATAGTGCCACTCAAGCTACACCCTCTTCGATATAACTTTTATCTCAAATTATTTACAAATGTTTTATTTTTTAAATCATTTATTGTTCTGTTTAATAATTATGATAATTAATTCATCAATTATTTTTGTTTCTTTCAAATATTATTTGAAATTGAAACAACTGATTTACATAAATTTAATCAATGTTCCATAATTAATATTTTTATACAATTATTAATTAAATAAATATTGTAATTTGTTGATTATAATTGAATAATTTAAGGATTTGTTATATAAATATATAAAGTAGTTGTGGAGTTGGGTTTTGTAGTTAGATCGAATTTGGTTTACGTAGTAGTATACATGTGCCATTCAGAGGGGGTGGCCGACACAATCCAACCACTGAATGTGGCTTCCGCCAAAACCACTTACGCTTTGTGGCGAGAGACTCTTAACAATACGATACAGGATACAAATACAATAAGACGCAGTTACATCACTTAGGAACAATGCCCACCCTGTTGTGTGGTGCACGGGTGCTCGTTCTCTTACGTTCTTCAACCCCTCTCCTTCTTCTTCTTCTTCTTCTTCTTCTTACATTTTTCCCATTCTCTCTTTCTCTCTCTCTCTCTCATTTTCTTCTGGGTAATACAGCAGCAGCAACAGCAACAGCAGCAGCAGCATTGTAAGATTTATGCGCTAAATGGAGAAAAACATTTCTCCCTTTTCAACGTCGACTTCGAACCAAATGGAAAGATCTTTTTACTTGAGTTTTTGTTTTGTTTGGAAGAAGACAAGTCAAGCAAGGTAGAAAAAAGTAATAGAAAAATCAGAACTAAAAACTTAAAGGTTATGTAAAAACATAAAGGTTCCTTTCAACAAATTAACAAAATTTCAATCTTTAAATAATATATAAAATATTATAAATTTGATATAATAATTGAAATAGTTCAATAATATTTATAACATATTAATATTTTATATAAAGTGTTGGTACCTATATATTAGGTTAGCAAGTAAATAATTGCATATTTTGTCGATAGCTGGCTTTTTAAACTCAGCAATGACTTAGTTGTCAACCCAATACTTTAACTATTTCTAGAATAATAGATTTTTCTATAAATTCGGTTACAAATATTAGTGAACACAAAACATACAAACACAATATGTTATTTAATTAAAATTTAAAATAATTTATGTAAAATTAGGCTCTTGTATTTTGAATTATTATAAAAAAAAAATGTAGGATTTCATAGAATTCATGTTGAAAAGATTTTAGTATGGTACGACATAGAAACAGGGTACACTAGCACATGTCGAATTCTCTCAGGACCGAAGAACCCCAGAGTTTCTCACCCATGGTACGGAAGTTAGAGATACGAAAAGAGAGAGAGAGGGAAGTGAGAGTGGGGGTTGGTAGTAGGGGGTGACTATTAGCTACAGCACTTGACTCGACCCCTGTTAATGCTTCGTAATAGCTCGCGAAGGGACACACTGTATACCCCATAGAATCGTATAACTTGGCCAGCCCCCATCGTCTTAATGGAACCACGATTAATACCAGTGTATTAGGTGTATGGTATAAGTAATCATTACATCGATAATTGTAACTACCCCATATATATATTATAACATTTGATTTAACATTGTTTGTTTAATTATTTGGATTTTCATATAGAAAGTTCTTTTATAACAAAATATTATTTTGTTTTTGTTACAGCATATGTTTCCTGGATGCGTTTCTATTCGACATATCCTCACGACATGCGTGAGATTTTCAATCGAAAGGAATTACATTTGGGTCATTATGCTAAAAGTTTTGGTTTGAGTGACAGGCCTCAACAAATCGGTGAAATTGGAAAGAAAGTGTGCGAACAGGAAACCAAAATTCAACCCAACAACAGACTTACCATCGATCGGTGAGTTATAAATTGAATATTAATTAAATCTATATTTAAAATTAACCCTTTCGTTCTTCACCATGCAATTAAACAAAAGCACCGTACTGAAAAGTGTGCATTGTACTCGGTGGTAATCTTTGGATTATCCATTTACGTTTTTTCAACGCCATCTTAGCAACTTATTGTTTGATGTACAGAAGATATTTTTAGCAGGATTAATTTAATATGGGTCAATATGAACAGTAATCGTCACCCGTACTTAGACGCCGGTTAAAATCGGCACCCATAACGAAAAGGTTAAATTATATCCATCCTATCAATTAATAATGACCAACCAACATAAGTTAACCTCAAATTTGTTGTTTAATTCTTTACAATCGTTAACAACACAGGTATTTTAGAAATCTAGAATATGTATGTAGATAGAAATGGGTATTAATGACGGATTCACGCGTGGCTTAGCGTGATAACCGTGATATTCACGTAGTTAACAGCTAGAGAACTAGAGGACAAACAGAAAGCAAATATGTCGTCGTGTGCGACACGTAGAACGCGTACGCATAACGCGGACTTCTAGAGAGAGAGATTGCTCACGTCAAAACTGTCGCGTTCTGTCATTCGTCATATACGAAGAACGGACGGACGTGTGTTCTACGGTGGCTGCCAGACCATAAGCTGGGTACTATACGCCTCTCTCATCGTGCTTGTCCTCGCTATTTCGTCTCCCGGTTCCTCCCCCTCTCATCCTCACCCTCACCCAGACATCCCGTATCTCTCCGTTACTCTCGAATCTACACACTCTATTTCTCTACAAGTGTATGCGTTTCTCGTATTAAACCGGCTTTTGCCCTTCTCCAGCAACAAGCGCATGGCTTGTTCACATCCTTGTTTCTCTTTCATACCTTCTCTATCCTATCTGTCGTTCTATTGTTCATAATTATACAATACGGCTATTAAACAGACTGATGCTATAGTCACCGTCATTTCCTGCGTCACTGTTTCCACCATTTACAGATACCACGGAATCCAACTTCGTTTCAAATTTTATTCTATCAAACAATTTAAGATCTAATTTTTCTTCTCACTCTTTATTTTTGAATCTGATGCATCAGGGAATTGTTGATAAGAACAATTTTGATCATGAAAAATATTGAAATGTGTTTTAAATGGGCGTGCTTTTGGTAAGCACGTACCCAAGTACCCTTCAACCAGTTAGAAAGAAAGAGAAAGACAGAGTGAGTGTGTGTGAGTGAGAACCAAGTCAGTTTTAATGGGTGAAAGGCGGGCACCAACCCGACGGTCCAATGAATCGAAAGACCCCACGGTGTACGCCTCTGTGGCTACGATTACGCTCGTTTCTGCGCTCGCGCGCTCCTCTCCCTTAAACTATAGAATAGGATATACGATGTATGTGTTCTAATTCGCTTACGCTTTCACATAGTGTTGTCGTTGTCGTAGTCGTAGTTGTCGGCTTTAGATTGACCGTCTCCCATGACGCGAATCGATCCTAATAAAGAAGAACGAGTTCTGTTTCGTTTTCGTATCGGTTTTCTCATGTTAGGTTCGTCGTCCGACAAGATGGGCGATGATCTTTCATATTTATATTAAGTATGTGTTGGTAATAGTTGTATTATTATTATTATTATTTATTTATTGCGTTAAGATTAAAGTAAATGTGTAATGTTTTGCTGCAATTTTGATGCAACCAATCATTTTTTTTTGTTTTAAATTAAAAAATATAAAAAATAATAATACAATTTTTTAAATTTTTATATTTTAATTTTAAATTAATTATTAGATTTTACTTTTGTTATTTTTAATTGTAAAAATCATAAAAATACGATATTATTCCAGTTAATGCAAAATACCAATTAATGAAATATTTATTAATATATTATTTATATATTTATATGAATATATAAATAATAAATAATAAATAATATATACATATATATATGTATATATATATATGTTTAAATATTAAAAAAAACCAAATTCTTTTGTACAATTTGATTTATATCTTATTATATTTTCATAAGTATATCAATTAAGGATCATGCGAGCAATTTATTTTCATATTTAATCATCTCCCATTTTGTACATTTAAAAAGAAAAATAAGAAAAAAAACAAATAATGTAATTTTTTTTAGTCTCATATCATTGATGGATCTTCCACTTATGGAGAATGACATTATAGTACTATTACATATATGATTTATGTATACTACTCTTTGAAATACTTAAGAATTCACCGGTTACGGTACGACGAGTTCACAAAGAAATGGTGACAAACGCGAAATTCGGTACGCCAGTTGAGAAGAGAATCTGTTTTTTTCTTTTTTTTTTCCCCGCCTTTTTATTACTTTTTTGTTAGACTATACCATATTCTTCTCTCCCTACCATTACGCGTGTGAATAAAAAAGAAAGGTTATGTTGCGTGTATCCTTGTACATTTTAAACCGAGTCACATTTTTTTCTTATCAATTTTCGATTACGTTCATTCTGTTTCTCCACGCTACGTTGTCAAATTACAGAAAATTGTGGGTTAGCCAAAACTGAACGATTTAATGAATCGTTATTTTGAAATGTTTCAGATCTGATCGAAAGACTCAAGGAAAACAAGATGGTGGTCATCGTAATACGGGAACTTTGAAGAAAGTTAGGATGTTGAACGTGTCAGAATACGACAGTGGTTTACCAGCTCTCAAAAAACCGAAGAAAAATTAAAAATATTAATAATTTATTTTGTTTATTTTTATTACATACACATACACACATAACAAAATAAAAATCTCAATCACAATCTTTCCAAATCCTAACCACAATCTTTCCAAATCTTATTGCAAAGTACAAGTTAAAAATCTGAATTATTTTTTTATTTTTATTACAAACACACACACACACACACATTACAAAATACAAATTTACAAAATACAAATATACTATATACATATATACATTTCTTAGAATGTTAAAGAGAATTTAAACATTTGTACTAAGGAAGATAATCATTTTGTTGTATGATATATCGAGTAAATGTAATATAAGTCATAAAATAGAAAGAGAAAGAGGACTTCTCTTCCGACGGTTTTCGCATTAAGAGGAAATTCATTTAGACGATGTATCAAAAGCGGTGTGAGAAGGAGCCCTGTGTGTAGTAACATTGTAAATGAATCGCTCCCCGAGGCATTAATTACAAAAATAGAATCTATCAACGTGTTCTACCCTACTCGGCAATATGATTACAACTTTAAGAGACTTCTAGTACTTTAAGTCTAACATACACATACACACACACAGATAGAATAACGTATAATCATAGGTGGACGAAAGTACGCGGCATGGAAGAATGGACGTTCTGAGAGAAGGACAGAAGAAGAAGATAAAGAAAAAGAATGTACAGTTTTACAGTGAGTGTGTGAGAAAGACAGAAGACTGGTTGGTTGGTGTTTCGAGCTACGAAAAGATGGCGGAACAAGAAGAAGAAGAAGAAGAAGAAGAAGAAAGGGATGATGAGGATGAGGATGAAGGGGAAAGGGGTGGTTAGTTTGAGAGGGGGAATATGATTAATACTCGGGCATTATTTTGAGATTTTTTGCAGGCCGATCCAGGGGCGCAAATTGCTTGCAAATAAAGGCGGCATCGGGTGCGGACTATCGCCGCCGGTAGGAAATGAAAGATAGAAAAGGAAGGAAGGAAGGAAGAAGTAGAAGAAGAAGAAAGGGCAGAAAGGTGAGAGAGAAGAAGAAGAAGAAGAAGAAGAAGAAGAAGAAGAAGAAGAAAAAGAAGAGGCAAAAGCAAAGTATGAAGAAGAAAGAGAATACTATGAAAGAAAGAAAGAAATAAAAAGAGAAATAAAGAGAGGGAAGCTTAATTTAATTTAATTATGCCTTCTTTCTTCGCTACCAACGTGCTGGAAGATAGATGAGAAGGAGAGCCATGGAATCGTGGCCATCTTCTTCTTCTTCTTCTTCTTCTTCTTCTTGGAGGATGGCAAACGTCGAGTTGAGTTGAATCTCTTGGTCGTTCATGCTACGATTTTCGTCCTGCGACGATTATTATTCGTCCCCATCCTTTCGAACTACTTTCCTTCTTATTCGCGCGCATCAAATTAGCGGTCATTATCGTAGTTGGGTTCATGTTCTTCTTCTTCTTCTTCTTCCCCCTATTGTTGGAATGAAATCTTTCTCACACACATACACATACATTTACACATACTTATACAGAAAATCGTCATCTTTTATCTTTCTTATATCCTTTCATCTACAGTTTAGTTATTTTTCCTTTTTTTGGAGGTTATCTTAACACTAGATATACCACTATTTTCTACCACACTAGTCAAAATGACTGGTGTATATATAAAAAAAAATGCTTTTTAAGGCTTCTAGTCTTTATTTACTCTTAAAAAATAACAAAAAATGTTTAACAATAATCATTTTAATAGATAAATGGATGTATAGACATTTTTAAATAACAAAATGCTTAATTATTTATAGAAATCAAATGTTACATGAAGTAGAAATTTGGAATTCAAATGGCCCCACCGACTAGTCTCAAAATGACTGGTCTGTTATATCTAGTGTTAAGTATCGAAACTTTGATTGGTTATAATGCTAGGATATAAAATGTCCTTTCTACCAAAAAAAAAAAAAAATGTTCAAACCCGTTAAGTTGAATGCAGTGATCGATCGTCTCAGAGGTGATAAAGGTTATGTAAAATTCATTTTATTTATTTATATTACTATTCCTATATTTCCGCGTAATTCCTATGAATATGTGTTGTGTGTGTGTGTGTATATGTGGAAAGAGAAAGATTTAAAAGGAATAGAAGAAGGGGTGGTGGGAGGGAGGACAAAATAAAAAGGTTAGAAAATCAATTTAATCGTACGACTACGTTCCCTTCTTCTTCTTCTTCTTCAACTTGAGAACTTAGTCTTCTTCTTCTTTTTCTTCTTCTTCTTCTTCGTCGTGTTCGTTGTCTTCTTCTTCGTCGATGCATTTTCGAAACCCACCCAAGTGGTCATCTGCGCGGCACGGAGGCATTAGAGAAACGAATAGTACGATATTTATTCGTAATGCGCATAGCAATTCGTCGTGGGGTTCTCTCAGCATCGGTCATAGTCATCGCACGTTTGAAGCTTTCAACGTGCGCGCGTGCACGTTCCTAAGAGACAAGGGTGTCGGTGGGGGAAAGAAAGAAAAAAAAGAGAGGGGGAATCAAGCAAGCAATAGGCTAATATTAGAGGTGGGGGGTACAGGGTTGAAGAAAAGTATAATAATGAAATTTACGGATTTAGGATTATTCATTTGAATCTTATTTTCAAGTAGTACACTTGAATTATAGTATTAATAGAACTATTTGTGGTTTAAATAAATAAAATATATTAATTAAAATAATGTTTAGGTTAGTATTGGGGAAAATTGGGGTTTTTTTTGGTTTTTGGTTAGGATTAAAATGTAATGTAAAATTGTTTTAGGTGGGTGCATTGGTATGGGGTTACAAAGTATTATTATATTATATTATATATATGTTAAAATATATATAATAAATATTATAAATATATTTATAATATATAAATATTATAAATATATATATATAAATTATATTATATTATATAAATTATATTATGTATATATGTTATACTTTTTTTAAAGGAAAATCATAGATTTTGAATGGGAGTGTAATATCAACCCTCGTAACACGTTTATCGTACAACCGTTAATTTAGAAACAAATCGATAGTGAACAACCATTGCGGAAACGTATTAAAAATCCGATTCGATGATCGTTCCATAGCTTTCGTAGAAGCAAAAGAAATAGCATCATGGAAACGTTTTATTGGCCTCGCGTGCGAAGAAGCCATAGTCCCCTATCACACCCTTCGGCACGTTTACTCTCTTTTACTTCTTTCATTTTACCACACGAATATCTCGTTATTTTCACGTCCTATATGATGTCACATTTACAAACGTTCGTTTCAACGTACATTTATATATATAAAAAAAAAAAAAAAAAAAAAAAAAAGAAACAGAAAAGAACACGGACACGGAAAGTTTGTTTATAGTTTTAAAACAAAACAAAAAAAACAACCACATTGTACAAAATTACTTGGCATTGACGTCATACTTCTTTGGCAACGTGTTAATCTTAAACTATAATACTTAAACTAATCTAAAACGAAATCCAAGGACGTATTTGAAATCTTACGAAAAATTAGGAAAAAAGATATATTTTTTTTGTATTCGATTGAAATTTTTTTATTACAAAATAAAATTAAAAATTAACAATTTACTTATAGGAGTTGTTTCTATAATTTTGAATGTAATTTAATTGTAAGTTACACATATGTTGTATTTTTTATTTCAAGATATTTATTAGTATTAACTTTGAACATAGAAATAAATTTAATATAATGTTGAATATTAAATATTACCATTGAATATTAAATAAATTTGATATAATGTTGAACAAATAGAAAACCAAGCACCGTTTGAACAATTTACGAGTTCACGATGTTTGACGTTTTTTTGAATTCTTGTAAGATTATTTTAACTTTAAACTTATAATTATAATAAATAAACAAATGCAACAAGTAATACCAATACTAAGGATATCTTATTAAAATGAAAGAATTGTAAAAGAGGCAAGTAACCATTTTTTTTTTTTTACATTAAACTATCTTTCGAATTTTCTCGTGACTCTTACGATTCGTCATAGATGCACACACACTCACACACAGATATTATACATATCGAGAGAAAGAGAAAAAGAGAGAGAGAGAGTAAAATGAAAGGATAAAAGAAGAGAAGAAGAGAAGAAGAGAAGAGAGGAGAGGAGAGAAGAGAAGAGAAGAGAAGAGACCTGAAGAATCTTTCGACCTCAATTTTCGAGGCGTACGGCGCAGCCGGCGCAGCGGATCGATGCCGATTCGAGGCGTGAAATCCAAAGGCAACGAGCGAGATATTCACAGTAATGACTCGTAATAAGCGACGGAGCTTGCCGGCCAATGTAAACGATCGAAAAAGTCGTTAACTGGTCGGAAATCGGTAATCACCTGGAATAATCGGCTCCTCATGTAAGTGCTTACGTTTTTATATACGTCTCTGGTGTTAGAAAGAAATCGAGGCCGGTCGTGCATACCCCGTGAAGATGGATATGCATTATAAAAAAAAAAAAAGAAAAAAATGAAAAGAAAACAATATGAAAAGTAGCATAAAAAACAGAAGAGAATTATGGGGGTGGTATGGTGAACGAAGAAAATTATAAAAAGGTAGTATATTATATGTATATGGTTGTAAAGAACATTCATTTTTCTTAGTCCCCCTGTAGATCGTTATAAAAGTTTCTACAATATTATAATTGATTTATTGTAGAATTTAGAAAAAATGTTATTCAATTTTTTCGTTAGAATTCATTTTGGGGATTCTTATATGGGCCACTTTTTAGCCCTCTTACCCTTTAATCAATCATTTTTAGTATTTTATACGAATGAAAATGGTAGGTTTATGCGATGTTATTGGTAGAATTGCAATTTCCCGCGTAAACGGGGTCCACGAATGTAACTACAAAGATACTCGTGGTTTTTTGGAAAAAGTTAGGTTAAATAAATTATATATTTATGTATATAACCTTTTAATCAATCATTTGTAGTATTTTAAACTGATACGAATGAAAAGTATCCGTAAACGGGGTCTACGGATGTAACGACAAGGATATGCGTGGTTTTTTGGAAAAAGTTAGGTTAGACAAAATATATTTATGTATATTACTCTTTAATTAATCATCTGTTGTTTTTCAAAATAACATATGACTAATAAAAAGTATCCATTTTGAAAACAATAAACGATATTAGTGGTAGAACTCAAGT